TAATAATAATAATAAAAGCATCTTAGAACTGCAGAGGTGCTCATGTCTCGCCAACCTGTTCTGCATTTATTTTTTCTTATACTGGGGAGAGAAGAACACAGATCATGCGTTACCTGTATCCCTAGGTCCTCCAGCCATCTCTACCATCCACACTCACTTGGGAAGAGCAGAAGCCTCTAGAGCAGTGGTCCCCAACCTTTTCCAAACCACAGACCAGTTTAGTGTGCGGGGGGGCACCCATGTGTGTGGGCCAACCTGTTCTGCATTTATTTTTTCTTATACTGGGGAGAGAAGAACACAGATCATGCGTTACCTGTATCCCTAGGTCCTCCAGCCATCTCTACCATCCACACTCACTTGGGAAGAGCAGAAGCCTCTAGAGCAGTGGTCCCCAACCTTTTCCAAACCACAGACCAGTTTAGTGTGCGGGGGGGCACCCATGTGTGTGGGTGGGGTGGGGCACCCATGTGTGGGTGGGGCACCCGTTTGTGCGCTTATGTGGGGGGTGTCCATGCATATGGGGGGCGTGCGTGCATGGGGGCAGGAGATCCATCTCCTTGTCCTGCTCCTGCCAAGGCGGGCCGTGGACTGGGGATTGGGGACCCCAGCTCTAGAGGACATAAGTTGCTTTGCCCAGTCTGTTTTAGACCTTGACGGGGGACTTTTTTTGTGGAGGGCCTGTAAGTTTAGTTCTCCCTGGGACTAGAACAGGCCTGGAGGGGCGAAAATGGTGTTCTGGTGACGTGACTGGATTTTTTATATGTCCTTTTGGAGGAGGACATGCCTCTCTGAAAATGGATTTGGGTCCAGTTCCCCAGAGCATCACAGAAGGGCGGGTGCATCCCTGCCACTTCCTGGCACCTGTCCATCACTCTCCTATCGCTGTGTCCTTGCTTAAAACCACATGGCCTGACATAGATTATAAAACTGTCACATAGGGAGGGGAAAGTCATCCAGCTGCATCCAGGTGTAGCTTGATCTGGAAAATGTAGATCGCTTCTCAAACGATGCTCAGTCTGACAGACAGACTTACTGATACTTCCTCTCTTTTTTCCTTCCCTCTCCTTGTGTTTGTAGGTCTTGGGATCAGTACATGAGGGGCAGAAGAGAGCGCTCTTGGCGTGCTGTGATGGGACGGTGCTGTGCCTGAAGATGCCCTTCCCTTGTTCTTTCAAGAGAGAGGAGAGCAGGGAGACTGCCTGATGCGAGCGATGGCAGAGGGGGACGCCGCCCTTGCCTGTGAGGAATCTGTTGGGCAGGAGGAGCGTCCGTACAAGTGCAAGCAGTGCTCGCGGAGCTACCGCCACGCGGGCAGCCTGGTGAACCACCAGCGCACCCACGAGGTGGGCCTCTTCACCTGCCTGGTATGCCACAAAGGTTTCTCCAACCCCATGGCTCTCAAAAGCCACCTGCGGACCCACTTAGAAGGGAAGCGTTACAAATGTCACGACTGTGGCCGGTCCTTCCGGGCTTCCTCTCAACTGACCAGCCATCGTTGCACAGCTCGTGTCAGCCGGGACCAAGAGGAGGAAGAGGGGAGTAACGGAGGGAGCTACGCTTTCCAAAGGGGGCAGGACACGTCCTCCTCCTCAGAGGCCGACACTTACTCCAAGATGGAGAACAGCAGCGGAGGTCTGCTGACCAACCTGGAGAAGTACATTGCGGAATCAGTTGTGCCAGCAGACTTTTCTCAGCTGCAGTTCCTGCCCAAGGTGAAAGCCGAGGAAGAGGGACTGCTTCCGATGCACCAGGGGGAGGAGGAAGAGGAAGAGGAGGAGGCAGGGATCGGGGCCACTGTTGTGGACGAGCGGCGCTACAAATGCAACCAGTGCGACAAGGCCTACAAGCATGCAGGGAGTCTTACCAATCACAAGCAGAGCCACACGCTGGGCCTGTATCAGTGCGCAATGTGCTGCAAGGCCTTCTCGAACCTCATGGCCCTCAAGAGCCACGCTCGGCTCCACTCAGAGTATCGTCCCTACAAGTGCCGGTTCTGCCACAAAGCCTTCCGGTTGCCTTCCGAACTGCTGAGCCACCAGAAGGCCCATGGCCAGGACGAGGGCAAGATGGCGGGCTCGCGTCCCTGGGAGGGCTCGGAGCAGGGCATCTGGGAGGAAGACTCCATTGAGACTTTGGCCAAGCTGGATATCTACCAACCTCCTCCGGTGGGCACAGACTTTGGAGAGACTGCCCCGTGTAGCCTCAAAGATACTTCCAAAGCAGGGGGTGGCGAACGTTGCAACCCAGATGGAGAGCTTTGCGTCCGCTGTGGGGGGACCTTCGCTGATGAGGAAGAGCTGAAGGGACACAGTTGCTTTTATCCAGAGGAAGGAGAGGAGGAAGAGGAGGAGGAGGAAGGCAATACTCCTCAACAGCCAGCCCCTGGGTCCAATGGAGCTTGGGAAGCAAGTTTGAAAGGTGGGGAAAGCTATCACTTCTGCGAGGAGCGGCCCTTCTGCTGTGATGATTGTGGCAGGACTTACCGGCATGCCGGGAGCCTCATCAACCACAAAAAGAGTCACCAGATTGGGGTCTACAGTTGTACCGTGTGCTCAAAGCAGCTCTACAACTTAGCTGCCTTGAAGAACCACTTGCGAGTCCACCTCAAATCCAAGCTTGGCTCATCTGCGCAGGAAGAAACCCCCCAACACCCGTCTGCTCTTTCGGACAACCGGCGCGAGGCAGACAACCCCAGGGGTGCGGGAGGCTACCCGATGCGGCCGGGAGATGTCTGGAGAGGGGCTTCCTGTGGAAAGGAAGAGGAGGAGAGAGGTGCTGAGGAGGAGGAGCGGCCCTACCGGTGCGGAGATTGTGGGCGGAGCTATCGGCACCGTGGCAGTCTTGTGAACCACCGCCATACCCACCAGACGGGGATCTTCCAGTGCTCCATTTGCCCCAAGCAATACTCCAATCTCATGGCGCTCCGGAATCATGTCCGGGTCCATCTGCGGGCCGCCCGTATGCGGGGCAGGGAACAAGGGGGTGGCCTGACGTGCAGCAGCTGCGGAGAGAGCTTTGAGGAGGAGGCCGAGTTCCAGCTCCATCAGCTACGCCACATGCCCTGTGCGGAGGACTTAGGGGCCGCCGCCGTCCCCAAGCTCAGTGTCTTTCACTCCCAGGAGGCAGACCTACTCCAGGCGATTAAGCAGGATGTGGAAGCTCTGGAGAACGGGGCCGCAGTGGCCGAGGATGTCCTTCCCATCTCTGAGATGACCCACAGTGTTGCTGACTTGCAGAACCATGCCCCACAGCACGGGGCGGAAAGTGAACCGGTGGAAGGGACAGCGGAGAGGACAGACTCTCCCGTCTCCATCCAGCGGCTCTATGGTTGTGACCAGTGTGGCAAATCCTACCGGCACTCAGGGAGCCTCATCAACCACAAGCAGACACACCAGACGGGGGACTTCAGCTGCTCAGCTTGTGGCAAGCACTTCCAAAACGTCGCCTCCCTCAAAAGCCACTTGCGTGGGCACCAGAAGCCAAGAAGAGGGCAGGCTGAGATGGTGGTCATTATGAATGACGAGGAGGAGGAGGAGGCTGAAGTTGCAGATGAAGCTGCCATGTCTGGGATGGTTCCCTCAGGAGATAAGTTGCAGAACGGCAATAACATTCTGGACGAAGGTGCTGGTACCAACGGATGGCAGCTGGAGTCTCAAGCACCATCTTCTTTGCTCGGGGACATACAAGAGCATCCTTGTCTCTGTGACCAGTGTGGTCTGGGCTTTGAAGAGGCCAACAGCTTGATGATCCACAAGCAGACACACCAGCTTGGCATCTACCAGTGCTCTCTCTGCCCCAAAGAATATCCCAGTCTTCTGGCTCTGAAAAATCATTTCCATGGACACACCAGGGCTACAGTGTCCACCTGGGGAAATCGTGGCGGGGAAGACAATGCGGAGGAGCAACCCTTCCTTTGTAGCCTCTGTGGGATGATCTTCCCCAGCGAGGATGGTCTCCAGCATCATCATAGCCTCATGCACGAAGAGGGCGAAGCCCAGGGAGGTGGACAGGATGTCGTGCTGAAAGAGGAGGCCGGGGAGCATCTGGATGGTGCTGGGGGTCGAGAAGAAGAGCAACTCCTCTCTCATATCTGCGGCTATTGTGGTCAGACATTCGACGACATGGCCAGCTTGGAAGAGCACAGTGAGGGGCATTTGGAGGAGAAGGCCGCTGCCTTGGCAGACACATCCATCCAGCTCCGTCGCGCTCCGCGCCCGGAGGAAGACCAACAGCCCCCGCCTTCAACTCCAACAGAATTGTCCTGCCATATCAATGAGCCCCTAGACAACCGGCCCTATGCCTGCAGTCAGTGTGGCAAGACTTACCGGCACGGCGGCAGCTTGGTCAACCACAAGAAAATCCATCAGATTGGAGATTACCAGTGCGTCGTCTGCAGCCGACTGTACCCCAATATGTCTGCTTACCGTAACCATCTGCGGAATCATCCAAGGTGCAAACTGAATGGCAGTGTGCCGGAGCTCCGCCAGCCCGCCCCCGCTGGAGGAACAGAACCATCGTTTGCCTATGAAATACCGAAGAAAGAGGCCTTTGATGGCAGCAACATGGTGCATCAAGCCAAGGAAGAGCCCTCTTGTGCTTCCTCCCTTGGCTCTCCCATTGTAGAGGAAAGATCAGATGTTGGACCAGAGTTGAACACAAGCCAGTGTGAGCCCAGAAAGGCCCAACTCTTTGATATATGCGGAGAGGTGTACGAGGGGAAAACAGTACTGGAGGGCCATCGGATACTTCATTCCACTGAAGAGGAAGGGAAAGTGGAAAAAGAGGAAGAAATGACAGCAGGAGAGGAGAAAAGTCCTGGCACGGAAGAGGAGGGCTCCCCATCGGAGCGGCCCTTCCAGTGTGATGTGTGCGGGCGCAGCTACAAGCACGCAGGCAGCTTGATCAACCACAAGCAAACGCACAAGACGGGACTTTTTCATTGCGGCGTCTGCCAGAAGCAGTTCTACAACCTCATGGCCCTCAAGAACCACAACCGCACCCACTTTGAGACCAAGCGCTACCGATGTCCCGAGTGCCCCAAGGCCTTCCGGCTCCAGAAGCAACTGGCCAGCCACCAGCGGGTACATCGTGACCGGAAGCGAGACTCCTCTGCCCACGCGTCCCGGCGGCCTGCTCACGCCAAGCGGGCTGGCAAGACGGAGAGCTCCGCCCTCCCTCCCAAGCCCCCCCTGGATCCCGAAGAGCGGCCCTACCGATGCGGGGAGTGCAGCCGCACCTACCGCCACGCGGGCAGCTTGCTCAACCACCAGAAGAGCCACCGGGTCGGGCACTTCACCTGCCCCCTCTGCAGCAAGGCCTACCCCAACCTCATGTCTCTGAAAAACCACCAGCGGATCCACTACGAAGTGAAGCGCCACCCGTGTCCGGATTGCGGCAAAGCTTTCAAGTGGCAACGGCAGCTGCTGCGGCACCAGCGCCGCCCTCGTCCGTGCGGCGGCAGGGCTCCGGGGTCGGAAGCCAGTGGGAGCAAAGAGGCCTCGGGTGCGGAGGAGGAGGAGGAGGGCGGTCGCAGCTCCGCAGGGGCTTCCGCGGGCTCTTTCCCGAGCCGGGCGTGTTCCAAACGCTTTCCCAGCCACGCGGCGCTCAAGAGCCACAGCCGTGTTCACGCCAAGAAACCCTTTGATTGCTCAGCGTGCGGAAAGGCTTACCGGACCGCCAAAGATCTGACGGGCCACCGCAGGAGACACGCAGGGGAGGCGGCGGCGGCAGAGGTTGGCAAGGGCGGTGACACCTCTCCCTCTTCTGTGACCGTGAGTAAGTCACCGGAGGAGCGTCCTTACAAGTGTAACAGTTGCGAGCGGACGTACCGCCATGCCGGGAGCCTCCTCAACCATAAGCAAGTCCATGCCACTGGCCTCTACCGCTGCCCCATGTGTCAGAAGGAGTTTCACAACCGCCTGGCCCTCAAGAACCACCTCCACCTGCACAAGAACAAGAAGCGCCACTGGTGCTCTCGCTGCGGCAAACACTTTCGGACTTCCAAGCGGTTGGCTGCCCACGCCAGGGTGCACGGCGAGCGGAAGGGGGAAGGGACCTTCACCTGCCCCATCTGCGCCAAGAGGTTCTTCCACCAGATCAGCTTCCGGCAGCACCAGTTGTCACATGCCAAGGACGATGGGCATCCTGGGGCTGCTGCCGGTTGGGCAGTGAGCTGAGGGTTGCAGATCAATGGACGACAGTGTGCCAAGGATTATATGGCAGGGAGATTAAACTGCAGGGAAATTGGAAGAGCTTGAGTGGGGAGCCCTCTCTGTCGAAACGGCGGTCCCATGCATGCCTTGGAAAAAGAGGAAGAGGGGAGGTTCAGGGGCATCACTTTAAAGGGGCACATCAAATGGTGAAAATATGGGGAGGATGGGTATGTGAGTCCCCATTCTCTGTAGGAAACACTGAGGGGGCTGAACTCTGCTTCATAATTGAATATTGCATTGAATCCACACACATCTCCAGTGTCTCTTGCCAAGATGCCCCCCCCCACCGCCACCACATCAATATATGTACCTTTTTAGTCACAGATCCTACTTAGAGAGCTGAGTTTTAGCATCCTTGGAACCTTTTGAGCGTGTACTTAAACCTCCCTACTGATTAGAATCTTTGAACTTAAAAAAAAATACTGTACTTTAAAATTTGTTTGGAAAATCAGATAAGTAGCAAGTCCATGTTTAAGCTGCGTAGGGTATTTATATTTCTGTTTTTAAAACACAGAAAAATATGTACGGAAATACTGTCTTAAAGGAGAAATGAACAAAGTGAGTTGAGGCTCAGTTTGTTGAACAAAGCTAGATGAGAACCTTTGGTATGGAGAATTTTTGTTTTAATTTCTACCTCCTAAATTGGAAAGTTGTATATGTTTCCTTGTCGTGAATGGGATTTTTTTTATGTCAAAGATTAATATAGCCCAGAATCCTGTTAGCTGTTTGCGTGCATGACAGACAAAACATTGAAGTTGCTCCCGCATACTGATAAGGTACCTGCTGCATGTTGGTTGTGTGCCTAGTTGTGCATCTAGTTGTGCAACACAGCACCTTGTCAGCAAGCTGGAATTAGCTACTGCAGATTCTGTATTTTTCTTTGGAGTACACACAAATAACCAGGAGGATTCTGGCCATAACGTTTTGTCTGTTTCCAAATTAACTGAAAGAGAGAGAGAGAGAGAGAAAGATTGTGATAATTGCAACTGATTTCTAGAGGTAACTGGCTTAAAACATTCTGATTTCTGTGTGCAAACAAATTCTCCTCTTTAACGTCAGAACATAGTGCACCAGAATGTTCACTTGGGCCATCCTGACTGAAATGAGCAGGAACCACACAAGAGGGAGTCAAATTAAATGCTCCCTTCCTGAAACCAATTGGACACATTCCTTCCAGATGAGACCACAAGGAAAGACTGATGATTGTGTATTTCCTCCACAGCAGCCCTCAGCTCAGAGCTCATGAGATGAGGTGGAGTGCAGCATCTCCAGCCAGCATAGTATGTTGTCTTGGCATGGTAGAGGTTGTAGTTTAGACCATCTCAAGGGACCCTAGGTTGACAAAGCTATTCTCATAGCATGGGACTCTCCAGATCCATATGGACGTGGCTGCCACACGTCTGGAGAACAAAAGGGAGGAAGAACACCCAGCAAAGAGCAGAAGAGGCAGAAACTGCAAAGGGGCATGAAAGTCAAACTATTGCCCAGTGCATTTTTGTAGGTGTTGTAAATGCCCCTTGGGGGCAGTTCTGTGGGTCGAATTATTGGGCATTGCACTGTTGGTTATTCATCAGTTGCTGCCATGGGAGGATGCATGTTAGAACATTGGTTCCCAAACTTGTGTCCCCAGATGTTTGTGGACTACAACTCCCAGAAATCCTGGCTCATGATGAAGGTGTCTGGGAGTTTTAGTCCAAAAATATCTGGGGACCTAAGGTTGGGGACTGTATTTGAACAAATCTGTGGCATAATTGTGTGGGAGCTTTAACCATTTAGCCCGACTCTCCTATTCTTCACATACAGACCGTGTGTCTCCTTTGCAGTGAGAGGGAAATCCTCTGCGTCACTCATTCTTTAAATTCCGAGTTGCATGACCAAAATCATTACCACTGCTTTGATTCTGGATCTGTTACTGTTTTGAGATGCTACAGGAAAAATGGTTGGTTTCTGGATGAAATAACCAGACTGGGGCCAAACTCAGAGTTAACCTTAAATGCATCTAATGGAATTTAATGTGCAAGGCTTTAGATGCACATAGCATCAGTTGGGTGGGCCCAATAATTACTGGAGTTCTACCAGGCGTGGGGGAAGGGTTAAATCCTTTTCTGTCACAGCCCTGAGAAAATGTTCTTTTCTGAAGGTGTTTACATGGGGAAGAACTGTTGATCCAGCTACTTACACTTCAAAAACAAAAAAACTGACAGTCAAATGGGCACTGGGGAGTAACATGCCCTCTGCATGCATTTTGAGGTTGTCACCTTTTGTTTCCTCTGCACCAGCAAGAATTGTATGACATTAAAGCAAGGGTGCACAACTGAGGGATGATGACAGGTAGAGTCCATCATCTGGAGGAGCCACACAAGTGTCTGTCTTGAGAGAAATGTTGTCCAGAAGACTTCTGGAAATGTATTCGTGAAGGCTTTCACGGCCAAGATCTGATGGTTGTTGTGGGTTTTTCGGGCTTTTTGGCCGTGTTCTGAAGGTTGTTCTTCCTAACGTTTCGTCAGTCTCTGTGGCCGGCATCTTCAGAGGACAGCACTCTGTCCTCTGAAGACACCAGAGCACAGAGTGCTGTCCTCTGAAGATGCCAGCCACAGAGACTGGTGAAGCGTCTTCAGAACACCGCCAAAGAGCCCAAAAAACCCACAACAACCACTTCTGGAAATGTTTTCTCAGGTTGATCTCTTAAAAAAAAATCAGCTTTTTCCCCAAGGTGTAGAGTTTATCCCAAAATGCAGGATTGCCATCTGTCTGCCAGACTGTGGTGGGGCTGCACTGCTTCATACTCCAGATAACAAACTGAAAGTTTGAAACAGTCCACATTCAAACTGCTCTTCTAAAAAGCCAATGTATCCAGGATTGAGCAAATTAGAATGCTTGCTTCGCCCAAATGTGTTGGCTTCCCAATTAGAAAGCATTAGGGGCTTCTACATGGCATGAAATCATCCTCCACCATCTGAAGTGCCATAGTCCCAACAAGGCTTGATTGCAAAGGCGTAGACAGGCTCCTACTCACATGGCCTAAAAGGCGTAGACCGGCTCTTACTCACTATGGGTGTAGAGACCCATAGTGATTTGCAAGCAATTGCGGCAGATATATCATTACATTAAAAAAAAACACAAAACCCTTTAGAGAGTTTACCCCCCCCCTCCAAATAAGATGATCAGGAACGTCAGTATTACCAGCCTTTCCTGTTCTGTTCAGAGTAGGTAAGAATGAAAGGTTCCCTGTTTGCTCCATGACCGACTCTTGTGTTTTTTTTTCTCATCCAGCCAGAATTTCTCGGCATGTCACAGATAAATTTGCCCTGAGCGTAGGTGTGAAAGGAAAAGTAAACCCACAATTCCTCAGCAACTCAGTTCAATGGAAGAGAGTAGCTGTTTTTAAAGTAGTTGAGAATTCTCAGTTGTGAATAGAGTTTCTAACATAGTTGGATAATATTTTTTATGGGGGAGGGAGGGGACATCTATGTGTGTGTTTGTTTATTTTGCCAACCAAAATATGTTGCCCTCACACACCTCTGGGTTTGATCTTATGACACCCAAATATACTAAACGTTGACGCTTAGTCCCCTTTTATGCTGCTGTTTTCAACCAATTTTTTTTATTTGACTTCCACAAAAGCCATCATGGGAAGTAAAATGCATTTCCCAAAGTTTTGCTTGGAAATGCTTGCCCGCTCCCTGTCTAACTTCTTAAAACAGATCTCTGAATATCACCGATGTACTTCAGTGTGAATGTTACTGGGTGTTTTTTCTTTAAGGGGGGAGCGGTGTCATAAAAAAATCTTCAGACATGAGTTATTCTCTTTTCCTCACCCGTTCTAACTTGCTAGTTATCACTGCCCTTCTGGAGATGGGGAGACAACCCCGGGGGTCTTTTCTCCCCACTCTGTCCTATTAGACCCACCCCACCCCACGGGTTTTGCCCTGGTACTTTGATAGGATGGAATCTACATTTCCCGGGGTATTTGACGCCTCCTGGTGGCTATACCTCATCTGTGAAACACTTAAAACTGCAAATAAATTGTTCTTGTTTCTAAAGAAGCGTTTCATTTTCTTTCTCTGTCTTGCTTTCTTTTTCAGACTAACTCCTAGTGAGTGGATCCTTTAACAGAGCAGTTGAAACCCCCCCTTTATTGGATTCCTCTTAGCCAGAGAATTACATTCACAAGGCATAGTGGTCGTGAAATCGCCCAACAGTAATGTTTGCTGTTTTAGCAGAAACAACGGTAGTGCTTATTTTATTCCAATAATCAGAATCAATCTTTCACAGTGACTTACAGGAAGAAACCAAAATACATATCAATAAATATATAGTGTCGGATTGAACACATATAAATATATGTATATTTAATACATCATTATATATAAAATACATCATTAACTGATTTAAATGGCAAAAATCAATAATAAAATTCCTATTCCAAATAAAAGATTCCAGTGCATGTCTAACAATAGTGTTAAATCTCTTCAAGTAGATAATTTCACAACTGACGTTACCACTTGTGTTTGCTCAAGTGAATCTTATTTCTACATGGACAACAATGTCACTATTACCTGCTCAGGCACTGGAATTATTGGTTCAACTCTTGACAAAAATTAAGTTTCCTCAAATAATTTATTTGGCACAATAAAATATTAAGAGGAAGATAAATACGAGTACATGCAAAACTATGTCAGTTTCATGAGTTAAGATCTGACAATCAGATTGGGTATAGATCATAAGAGGGGGCATAAGATTCCAGACCTATTTTTTTCCTTTTAAATGCTAAGGACCATTTGTAACAACTTGATGTGGAAAGTCAGAGCGGTGTTTTGACCAGAACAGTGGAATTAATGAGACAAACATGGAGTTAAGTTTGGATCAACTGCAAAATCTACCAACCACCAAGGTTTGTAGAGAATGCAACGCTTAGAGGGGAAAAAATAATAATTTTTGGACTATGAGTTGCAGCGTCTCCCAGACAGCATGAAAGTTCAATAAATTGTATGCCCCACTCCAGCTTCTTCCGTAATGGTTCAATTTTCTGATGACTCATGGGGGAGGATTTCTATGACATTTCACATTTTCTCTGCAACCTACATATAAACCGACAAGCAAGTTCAAACATGTTTATGAGTAATCTCACCAGATTACTCATAAACATGTTCAAACCCACCCATAACCTCAAACACAGGTTGCAGAAAAAAACATGACCTGTCATAGAAATCCTCCCCCTAGATCCTAAGCTCTTTAAAGAAGAGAATAAATGTAGTTATCTTTTACATTTTTGGCACTGGGCAATGCTCTAAAAATCTGAAGATACTTCATGACCTGCAAAGCAGAAATCTGACGATATTTCCACTTGACTGCAAAGCTCTCAGTACATGTGAGCTATTTAAATAAGTAGAAGTAGAGGTCTGAATGGTTAGAATGATCTGAACAGTGGTACTTTGGCCCTCTTTTCTCCAATACAATATTAGGCAAAATTCCAGCTCACAGCAAGCAAAACACAGATGGGAACAAATTCTAGACTTTTAAAATTCCATTGTCTTTGAGAGGGAATTTCCAGAGGCAGGTGGAATACCTTTTTCTACTGCAGAATAATAATCTTAGAACTGCAGAGCTGGAAAGGACCCCCCTATGAATCATCAAGTCCAGCCTCTGCAAAGGAGGCACAGTGGGGAATCGAACCCCCAACTTCTGACTCTGATACTGAAACCACTAAGCTACCCTAACAGTTCATATACCAAAGGATGGATTGCATTGTGAATTAGTTCAGTTTCAGCATGTTTAGGATATGGGTTTAGAGTTGGCTTCTTCTTTCCCATTAGAACAGGCAGATATGGAAATAGTGGACTTTCTTTGCTTCCCCTGCACTCTTGTGGGTTCATCACATTCCATTATCCCCCAGCACACATACGAGGCAGACGGAAGAAAAGGAGTTGACTCAACTCCCACTCCTTTAGCTGAGCACCAGGCTGGTTGCTGGGTCTACATTTTCCCATCTGTAAAATTGGATGGGGAGAACAGGACCTGAAAAACAGACTCATCCCCACTCTGTTATGCCCAGCAAGAAAGGGGATCCGAACAGTCTTCTGGAAGATTTATCAGTTCGGTTTATGGACCCCCTCCAAACAGGATCCTCTGAGATCACAATAAGGGATCACGTTGGTAGCCACAAACAAGCGCATCTGCCAAATTTGGGGCACAGGGTGGAAACCAGGAGCACTGTCCCTCGAGGTCTGTTCAACGGCAGGCAGAATGCAAGGCAGGGAAAGCAGGATTTCAATTTTAGATTCACTCCATAGTCAGTTTTGTCTTATCATGTGTACCCTGCTTCTGCAAAGGGAAAAAGAAGGCAGAGCAAACGTATTTATCAATATTGGGTTCAGGAGATGGGATCTCTTCAAGTTAAAGGGATTATTTGTATGCTTGTCTTTGGTCCTAGAAATGCGTGGAGTCTGGGAAGAACACAGCTGAGCTTCAATTATGAATTTTTGAGGGACAGAAACATCCTGAAGACATTTCTGTAAGCCCTCTTATGACTAGGAGATAATAGATTCATATATAGGCTTCCTCTCTCACTCAAAAACAACAGCTCATTCCAGCACAGTCTTGTCCAGTTTAAAAGCAAAGATGGGGAAACCCTTTCAGCATGAAGGCCAAACGGCGATAGGACAAAAAAAATGCATATTTTCATTTGAAGCTCTTAATGTCATTAACAAAGCCTTAGAACAAGCATTCCAGCCTTTTGGGAAAACATAAAGAACCAAAGAACATGTATACACAAGCAGGAAAACCAGCAAATGATGGCACTGTCGGTAAGATGGTGTGGTCCTGAGAATCTCAGGAAGCAGACTGGAGATTCTAGGAAAATGGGATTAAACTGCAAGGCATGAGATTCCTCCACCCTCACCCCTGTTCTAGAGGAGAGGGTTGTTGCGCAACTGTAGAACTCTAATCCACACATTAATAAATGGGGATTAAAAAAAAAGACTAGTGACTACATTTCCAGTGATGTACAGTACTGCATGCAGAGACCCACGTTGCTTGGAAGAAGAGATATAGGCAGACTATATGTTGTATCAAAAGGTCTCTACTGATTCCCTTACTCCAAGGACCTTCACGGTCAAGAAGCTTGCTCCTCACCTCACCTGGAAGCTACACATTCAGACAGCTGTCTTCATCGTGGACCATCGGAAGAGGAGGCTTTTGCACATCATAGTAAGCTGACCAGGCGAGTTGCATGATCCACTCCTGATAGGCGCTGACTGCTGTATAAACTCCAGGACGGATGACGGTCCCACAACCTTTTCCAAAGCTGGCAATGCCTGCCACGAACCACACACCATTGTTGTTGCAGACTAGAGGCTCCCCAATGCTTTCCTAAGGGTCCAAGAATGAAAAAAAAATTAACCTCTTAGTACAACAGAAGCTGTATATTGTCTCCCTGCTTATTTAAATTATATGCAGAATACATCATGCGAAAGGCTGGACTGGATGAATCCCAAGCCGGAATTAAGATTGCCAGAAGAAATATCAACAACCGCAGATACTGTATACAGATGATACCACTCGGATGGCAGAAAGTGAGGAGGAATTAAAGAACCTCGTAATGAGGGTGAAAGAGGAGAGTGCAAAAAACGATCTGAAGCTCAACATTAAAAAAACTAAGATCATGGCCACTGGTCCCATCACCTCCTAGCAAATAGAAGGGGAAGATAAGTAGACAGTGACAGATTTCTCTTTCTTGGGCTCCGTGATCACTGCAGATGGTGACAGGAACCACGAAATTAAAAGACACCTGCTTCTGGGGAGGAAAGTGATGACAAACCTAGACAGCATCTTAAAAAGCAGAGACATCACCTTGCCAACAATAGTCCGAATAGTGAAAGCTATGGTTTTTCCTGTAGTGATTTATGGAAGTGAGAGCTGGACCATAAAGAAGGCTGACCGCCGAAGAATTGATGCTTTTGAATTGTGGTGCTGGAGGAGACTCTTGAGAATCCCCTGGACTGCAAAGAGAACAAACTTATCCATTGTGAAGGAAATCAACCCTGAGTGCTCACTGGAAGGACAGATCCTGAAGCTGAGGCTCCAGTACTTTGGCCATCTCATGGGAAGAGAAGACTCCCTGGAAAAGACCCCGATGTTGGGAAAGGGTGAAGACATATAGGTATATATTGATTATTTTGGGAATGTCAAATATTAAAAAGCATTGTGTGTTTCTACTTTTAAAGCTAGATACAGCTGGAAAATTGGAGTAACTGAGCATTTCAGCACCAGATCAAAGGTGGACAGCTCCTTGGGATTTGAAGGGTCCATTCCGTCTTGGCCAGCCAAACTTCTGTTACATTTGGCTTTCTCCTTAAATAGCCAATCCCAAAACTCAAAACTAAAAACACCAATTAATTATTGTATCAAAATCAACTCGCAAGCCAGGTCACACGAGGCCAAGCTACTTTTTAAATGTGATAAAAAGGCAAAATGTGGGATATTTCAGTGCTAGTGCACTTTCCTTTCCTTTTTGATGATGGGAAATGTTTCCTCTTTGGGGATAAAGAGCCGCAGCTTTTTGGGACTATGGCTGGCTATAATGCTCATGGGAAAATGACCATTTTGCTTCAGTGCTGATTTGTAGGGCTCCGACGCACAGCCTGGAAGTTTGTTTCTTGGAAAGCTCCTCCAAGATCCTTTGTTCACTTTAAACTGAGAGCTTTGCTCCAGAGAGGAAACTTTGCTGCATTCTTGATTCAGAGGTACAGCCTGTACCTTGTCCATAACTGTAATGCCTGGGATACTTTTATTTGCCCATCGTACCACTGTGGGGCTGCTCTGTAGGCAGATTTCAGCCCTCTTTGAGTCAGCTGAGTATGAGACAAGCAGATACAACTCTCCATGACTGTATTTCCCAGGGAAGTGTGTTGTAAAGTCCCAACTGGAGGATCATGTTCGGTTCATGCTTATTTGAATTGTGCAAGAGAATAAGGGGAACAGTGAGACGTGCCAGTGTTTGCAATAAAACCCCTACCTGTTACAAAGTCTCTGAAAACTCAGGGCAAAATAAAGAGCTTAATAATAAATTAAGCTGCCAAACATTTTCACTTGGGTTCTAGCTTACTGTTGATCTTGAAATGATGGCAGTAGAGCAACTAAGTTACAGTGGTGCCTCGCTAGACAGTTACCCCGCATGACAGTTTTTTCGTTAGACACTGACTTTTTGCAATTGCTATAGCGATTCGCAAAACAGTGATTCCTATGGGGGAATTTCGCTGGACAATGTTTGGTCCCTGCTTCGCAAACCGATTTTTGCTAGACAATGATTTCGACAGCTCCCTCCGTGCTCGCAAAACGAGTGTTTTTGGGACCTAAGCTTCACAAGACAGCTATTTAAACAGCTGATCAGCGGTTCGCAAAGCGGCTTTCCTATGGCCGATCTTCGCTAGACAACGATGATTCTTCCCCATTGGAATGCATTAAACAGGTTTCAATGCATTCCAATAGGGAAATGCTTTTCACTAGACAATGATTTCGCTAAACAGAGATTTCAGTGGAACAGATTATCATCGTCTAGCGAGGCACCACTGTACTGCCTAAAAGAAATGTGCATGTTAGAGAATCCAAGCCTGCAGTCTATTCTGCCGTGAAGCATTCTGCCATAAAACATGACTGTAGAGGAGGCACCACTGTATTGCCTAAAAGAAATGTGCATGTTATAGAATCCAAGCCTGCAGTCTATTCTGCCATGAAGCATTCTGCCATAAAACACGACTGTAGAGGAAAGCAGAAAAGGCCTCAACAGAAAACATGTTCGTGGATTGTGCCCCAACTCACTAAACTGGAAGGTGTGACCTGCTTACCTCACAGTGCATGGTCCTGTTGTAGGGTGTGGCACACAACATATCTGAGGTGATGGAAATCTCATGTCCGGGATCGCTGGTTTTGTTGTAGATGCAGTTGCAGTTCTTGGGACCCAGAAGTCTCACCTCCACGCTCTTTGGAGAACTTAGCTGTCCAAACTCATCTGGATAAAAACAGGTAAATGTTATTGATGGGAGAGAGATGCTCCCAAGCCAGCGAGTCCACCTTCTTAACACCACATGGCTTTCTCTCTTACTCTCTACCTTTTTTCTTCCAACGCCTTGGGATGTTTATGACTGGATCTCGTAGGCTGGTTTTAAAATCTGCCTTCTGCAGGTGGAAAGGCTTTGCCCAGCGAACTTGTTTCTGCTTGGTTTTCAAGGATCTCTCTTCCACCTCAGTTCCTCCCATTGACCAGCCCCTCTGGCTAGCTTTTTCAGGATGTTGGGCAGAGAAGCCACCATGGGAAGGATAAGGCAAGGAATTTGGTTCACCCAGTTCTCTTCCACCTGCCTAGGTCTGATTCCATCCCATCTCCACATAATGGCATTCCTTCCACATAGATACAGTAATTCATTTCAAAGAGAGTAGGAGTCTGGTCTAATCTCTCAATCTGCCTAGTTTTGAGGAGGGAATAGAGGAGTATTCATATCATGCAAATGCACTTGTATAGTCTGAGAGAATTGTAATTCCCTCAAATGAGAACTCCACCTAAGACTGGGCTTGGCGTTAAGTGGTCAACATTTCCTTTGTTTCCAGACCTAGCGT